CTCTTCTCTGTACTCTTTCTAGAGTCTCAGCATCTTTTTTACATCGTGGTGACCAAAACTGGATGCAGTATTCCAAGTGTGGCCTTACTAAGGCATTGTAAAGTGGTATTAATACTTCACGTGATCTTGATTCTATCCCTCTGTTAATGCAGCCCAGCACTGTGTTGGCTTTTTTGGCAGCTGCAGCACACGGCTGGCTTCTTACTTTGTTGTGATAAACTAAAGAAATCCAGTTCAGATGCGTCTCCCAGCCACTTGTCTGAGCACTCTTAATGCCATAGACAAGTGAAAGAGGTTTCCAGAAACTAAGAAAAGGAAAGTGTGCTAGTTTTATTTGTAACACTAATTTAGTTAGTTTAGTTTTATTTAGCTAGTTTGGTTTTTAGTTTTTACAGAAACGTCTTCCCACAAGAATTTTCCGCCCCTTTTCAAGATATTGATTGCAATGTTAAAGGACACCAAGTGAATTTCATCCTCATGCTGTTTTCCACCACTTTCAAGACTCCTGCTAACCCACAGAGCAATGATTCTTAAACCTGGGGACTCCATCACCCCTTTTCCCAGTCTCAAATAATATTACCACCACATGCCAAAAAGCCAGATTCTGTTATTTTACAAAAGCATCTAAGCAGTGGCAAATATGCCTTGACTCAAAAACAAATAATTAAAAATTGTTCCATTAGCCATAGGAGAGGGGTAGGCAACCTTGGCTCTTTTATGACTCGTGGACTTCAACTCCCAGAATTCCTGAGCTAGCTGATCCATGGACCAGCACCAGTCTGCAACATGCCAGAAACCAGGCTATGAAAACAAGCGAAGCCCCATCCACGGGATGCAGGCAGCACACGAAACCACGTCCCCTCCAGTCCGTGGAAAAACCTGTCTCCATGGAACCGGTCTCTGGTGTCCCGAACGTTGGGGGGGGGCACTGTTCTATATCATTTCAGATAAATGGCTGCCCAATCTCTTCTTAAAAACTTCCACAACTTCTGAAGAGCATGAGATCTTAGAAACCACGCAATCTAGTCCTTATTAGGTAAAGATTTTCACTTTTAAAATAACGTACATATTCTTAAGAGTCTGGTGTGTTCCAAACTGATGGAACAATGAAGGGCCAACATCAGACTGATATTGTTCATATGCTTTTGCCTCTTATCTTCACAAGTCAAAGGACAAATGGCTTCTAAAAAAGGTGAACCTGAATTAAAACTGACAATACAAAAGAGGGGTGATATAGATTAACGACTGTGTTAATACAATGAATATACGGGGCACTCTAGCACGACTTAGTATATAAACACAAATTGGACGAATTCACTCAACATGCTAAGCTAATCACAGTTCATCACAATGGCTGGGTTTGCACATTGTGCTATGCCAGAACCAAATAATCCATATTATGGCTCGGAACCGAGCCATGAATTTTAGAGCTCTGTCAACAGTCATAGTTCTGCATGTTGTTTGCTACCCTTGCATTTAGCTTGACTCATCTGAGAACTGAAAACAATGTAGCTAATTTTAAAGGACTTCCAGGAAAGAAGTGATCAGAAAATAAAGGCAGTTAATTGTGTAAACCATGTTTATCCAATCTAGTGACCTCCAAGTGTTTTTAACAAAGAAATGTCAGCAAGCATTCATTGCTGAACTGATTTTCCACTGTTTATGACTGATTTATAATGGTTTTGAAATTCCATTAGAACATTAGTCTGTCGGATCAGAAATTAGCTATCTGACAGTAATCCAGGGTCTCTACTAAAGAAAAGCACTTTCCAGGCTCATGTTGACAAGCCTTTTAAATGAAGATGACACAGACAGAAACTGGTTTATTATTTGAATGGAAAAATGACTTTTTTTACTTGTTATGATCTCCTTCCAGTTTAAATATGGATCAATTCACTTAAAACTTTGTTTAGTCAAGTTGCATTATAATATTCCTGGCAACTGCACACTGCTGCACCTACACACAGGTCAGGTCATACGTCAATGGTACAGTAGTGGCCAAAATTGTGGAAACCTTTTGGAAAAAGTGTATTTTTGATGGGTAATAACACCACTTTTTTCTGGAGTATTACAATAAAATTATATATCAATAGAAAGATAATTGAATCAAGAATGCAATGCAACAAAGTTTGTTCAATTATCTGTACTGTATTCTATGAAAAGTTATAGCCAAATAACCAGAAAAAGGAAGCACAACTTGCTTAGGTTGATCTCAGGTAGCTTTCCTTCCTCCGATTGTAGCCAATGAGCGTGAGTGTTTAGAGAGCCAATCGGGTGTCATCTTGTTTTGGCCATGAGCCAATCAGATTACAGTTGGATTCAGTGATTGATGTCCTGTATTGAAGCTGAGAGGAGGACATTTGTCAAGTGTGTTATGTGATCGCTATCGTTGGTTGGGTTTTTTTGTGTTCTTTCATTGAGTGAGCTTGCAAAACGTAATAAAATTAAAGTCACGGTGCAAAGAGTTGATTGGTCGCCCAGAAAGCGATGTAAAATAGTAGTATTAAGTGAACAAGGCTACAGTTATAAAGAACTGAGAAGAAAAATGGGTGGAAACTCAACCAAAGGTGGCGTTTCTACTGTACACTTTTCCCAAAAGGTTTACACACTTTTGGCCAGTACTGTATAATAGAATGAAGGCCTACTCTGAACCTGATTTAAGAGTAAAAAAGGAGAGGGGTTGTAAAAAAAAAAACTACCAGGGGCAACTAAAGCCAAATCTCCCTTCGACCAGTCCGCTCCCACAGAGAAGGCCTCCTTAGGGTACCGTCGGCCAGCCAATGCAGGCTGGCGACCCCCAAGGGGGAGAGCCTTCTCTCTGGCAGCTCCTGCCCTCTGGAATGACCTGCCCCCCCCCCCAGACCTACGTACAATTGCGGACCTGCGCCTCTTCCGCCGAGCCCTGAAAACTAATCTGTTCCATGCGGCCGGCCTGGCGTAGTTTTGATTGGGTTTTGTTAGGGGTTTTATATTTTGGAGCAGGCTTTTATGTAATATTTACTGTGATTTTTATTATTGCCTGTTCACCGCCCTGAGTCCCGTAAGGGAGATAGGGCGGTATATAAATTTAAATAATAATAATAATAATAATAATAATAATAATAAAAAATTCTGCTGCCAGGCCCTTCCATGCAAGGACAACACCTGGAAACCTCTCATCTGCCAAGCCAAGGCAGCGGTAGGCAACCTTGGCTCTTCTGTGACTCGTGGACTTCAACTCCCAGAATTCCTCAGCCAGCCATGGAGCAGGGGTGGGGAACCTTGGCTCTTTTGACTCGTGGACTTCAACTCCCAGAATTCCTCAGCCAGCCATGCTGGCTCAGGAATTCTGGGAGTTGAAGTCCAGGAGTCATAAAAGAGCCCAGGTTGCCTACCCCTGAGCCAAGGGATGCAAGCACCGCCCACCAAGCCACAGCTGCCTGCTATTCAGCCCTGCCCCTCCCCTTCCACGGCCATCGACCCCCAAGCAGCCCACCCAGCTGCCCGAAGCTTCTTCCCGACACCTTTGGAGCCCCCCCTTCTCTCCTCCTCCTCCTCCTCCTCCTCTCCCACGGCAAACTTCGCTGAACCAGAAACACGCACGCCAGGTGCCGCCACAGAAGACCCCCCCGTCTCCCCCTCCCCCCGCGCGGTGCTCCACGCGGAAGACGCACCCACGAGGACCACCACTCACCAACTCATAGCTCCCTTCCGGTCCCGCGCCTCAGCCGGAAGCCGCAGGCTCGCGCTCGACTCCACCTTCCGGACGTGAGGTCACGCGACGGCGGCGGGCTGGGCGGTGACGTCACGCGCAGGGCTGGGAGGGAGGGGGCGGCGCTTTCACGTCACAGCGAGAGGGCGGGGAAAGCAGCGATGGGCGGGGCGTTAACCCTTTCCGTGCCGCGCTCCGGCCGGGGAAGGGAATGCCCGGAGGAGGCGGCGGTGCCCCTGCCCGATTCTCCCGGGAAGAGCTGGGATGGGCGCCCGCAGAGGAAGCCGAGGCGGCGGGTCTGCGCGCAGGGTGGGGAAGCGAGCGGGGGGTCTTGCCCAGGCGAGGGGGGGGAGCGTGGGAAGGGGGGGTCTCCCCTCGCCGCCTTCGCCCACCGGGACAGTCCCGGGGGGCGCCAGGTTGGGGAAAGCCGCGGCGCCTGGCTCTGCGCAGTTCCCGGGACTTTTGCTTTGACTCGCTTTGCGCGCCGCCTCGCTTTGCACGACTCACCCCTTCGCTGGGGGGGGGGCATTGCCCCCCCCCCAGCGAAGGGGTGAGTCGTGCAAAGCGGGGCGGCGCGCAAAGCGAGTCAAAGCCCTGCTTTTGGGGGGGGGGGTTATTCCCATATAACGGCGCCCGAAGTCAGAGCGCAGCTCAATTGAAGCCCCTTTTGCAAAGGGGAGAAGCGAGAACTGGACACACTCCCCCCCGCTCCGCCCTTAGCAGTGCAACCGGGCTGGGGGTTTCGCTGACCTGGACTGAAAGAGGGGTTCTTAGGTTCCTGCGCTCGGGAGCCTTCGCAAGGGCTCCCTGCTCTGCCAAGCAAGCCTTTTTCCAAGCTCCGGTTCCGTTTGGACTCTTCACATCTTCATCCGTGCTGGTTGTGAGAATTGGCGGAGTTTAAAAATCCGCCTAAGGCGCCGGTTTGGAGAAGGAAGGTGAAGAAAGAAAGAAAGAAAGAAAGAAAGAAAGAAAGAAAGAAAGAAAGAAAGAGGGAAGGAAAGAAAGAGAGAGAGAGAGAGAAAGAAAGAGAGAGAGAGAGAGAGAGAGAGAGAGGAAGGAAGGAAGGAAGGAAACTGGACAGCCACTTGTCCGAAATAGTGTAGGGTTTCCTGCCTAAGCAGGGGGTTGGACTCGATGAACTCCAAGGTCCCTTCCAACTTCATTACTACTACTACTAATACTACTACTACTACTACTACTACTACTACTACTACTACTACTACTATTATTATTATTATTATTATTATTATTATTATTATTATTATTATTATTATTATTATTATTATTATTATTATTATTATTATTACTTTTCCTTTTCAGCAGCCTCCCTTGGATGGGCACTCTTGCCAGAAATGAAGCTGCAACCTGTCAATCTGTTTACATTAGTTAGGGGATAAGACAGGGCACCCTGTGGGAGCCTTTATCAACATTAATAAGATTAGACTGTAAGCCCCAATTGATGTTGGTTTGTCGGGTTCAAACAAACAAAGCAAAAGCTTTATTATTTCTGAACGCAACTCGGGAGACCTTTGTTGACCTATTAATCCTATAGCAAGGGAGGTTTTGCTGCACTGACTTCTCCAGAACAGTCAGCCGTTTAGGTTATAGTGAAGCCAAAATTAATCTGTTTCCTTTTTTAAAAAACAAAAACCTTTTCTTACTCATAATCTATAATAACATTATTGACTGTCTCTCCTTCCCCTTCAAACGCATTGTTTCCCTTTCTCTTTTAATTGATTATAAATGTGTATGGAATAGATGGACTTCCACTTCCTGAAAAAAATGTATACGCAACCCAACCTTTGGCATATACTGTGACAGCTACATGTAGTCCTTAACTTACAGCCATTCGTTTAGTGACTATCCAAAGTTACAGTGGCATTGAAAAAAGTGACTCAGGATCCAGCCCTTGCACTTGCGACCATCACAGCATCCCCACAACCAGAAGAACAAAATTCAGAGGCTTGGCACCCGTGTGTATTTACTACGGTTGTAGCATTCCTGGGTCATGTGATCACCGTAAGGACTGCATGATTCGTTTAGGAACTGCAGCGGTTCATTTAACAACCGTGGCACAAAGGTCATAAAATCTGATGTGACTCACTTAACAAATGCCTTGCTTAGGAATGCAGATTCTGGTCCCAATTGTGGTCCTGAGCCGAGGCCCATCTGTAAAAGAAGAAATGTTTCCTGATCAAACCTTTATTGAGGGGAAAGATATTAATAATAAAGTTATCTAAAAAAAAGAGTGTCTTCCTTATTCTGATTGTCTGCTTGTGTTCCATTAGGCTAAATAACAACTAGGGGTCCGAAAACAAACCTCAGATACAGACCTGAACCTGTTTTTGTTCGGCATCCACTGTATGGCGAAGAACTTTACTGAGGTGCTTTGTCATCTTAATTGGCCCAAATAAGAATAACACACCTGTCGCTTTTGGCTTCTTTATTTTTAATGCCCAGACATAGATGACTTTATAATTGCTGGATATAATTTGATGTATGTTTTCTTCTCTTAAATGCTTTGTGTATGTTTGTGTGTATATGGGCCTATTATCTTTTAACAGTATTAAAATTCTGCTTTATGATGAATAGGAAAGAAAAACAAGATAACCAGAGGAGTTCTAAAGATATATATTACATAAAGAGCCTTGCCCTTTTTCCCTGCTTAGCATTCAGTACCTTCCAGTTCTTCAAGCTATTTTGCATAAACCTCCCTTTGACACAACCCTATACACTATCATCTTTATTCAAATAAAAGCAAAGAGATTATTAAGTATGGTGACATTCTCAGTTATCTCTTTGTCTTCTGCACATCTTCTGTAAATGATGGTCCCAAACTTCCTGCTGTTTATCCTTATCTGCCTCTATTTGGATTTAGCAACACTTCTGATTCCCAGTCTCCAAGATTATATTTTTTAAAAATATATTCTTTCGGATAATTTATCTAACTATGTATTGACTCACTTTAAAAAAACATTTCCCCATTTTCTTTCAGATAATACAAAGAAATATACATGGTATTTAAAACTTTGTGGCCCGTTTTGAATTTTCAATATTGCTGCGTAAGTATGACCCAAAACATCACAAATTCCAAAACTAGATAACCTTCCCTCAAAAAATGAATGAATGAATAATCCAAGTAAAGAAATAAATGAATAAGTATACCGGTATATTTTTTTACTTAACTCGTTTAATTGGATTCTTTTTAATCTACTTTTAGGACTTATGTGAAGAATAGATCACATTTTAGGTCATATTTATGTAGAAATTGTGTTGCTGAAATTGGGACTCCAGAAAGAGGTCACAAACTTTTGAGCATGCATGCCTGGCTGAGGAATTCTGGGAGTTGAAGTCCACAAGTCATAAAAGGGACATGTTTGAAGACCCCTGTACTAGAACTTCTGTCATTCCGAGGCAACGTGCTAGTTCCCAATGGTAAAAATTACAGTCTGAACATATTTGAAAAGCTTCACATAGGGAGGAAACTATACCAACGCAATACTGCTACTGTTAATATTATTTGTAATCATGATCATGACAAAATCATCAGTCAATTGCAAAAGGCAGATGTACTTGAAACAGCTTACATCCTGTGACGATACCTCTAACACCATCAAACATCAACATCTGTCCCTGGGAAGGACTTGATAGGTGGATAAAAATGCCAAAGCCAGTCTAAACATCTGGCTATTTGTGCAGCAAACCATAACAGATTACGGTTGGCTGTCTAGGAATAGAATAATTTAAGACTAAGATGCACAAAGGTGTGATCCACCAGATGTTGCTGAACTATCATTCTTAGCTTTTGTTACTACTGGCCTTACTGACTGAAGCTGCCAAAGGTTTGACTCCAACACCTGCTTCTACTATAAGGCTGGCCTGGGCTTTACAATGGAACACTGGAAGTTGAAAACAATAGAAATTGTTTGGGTTAAGAAGAGTGTTAAAGATATGCATGCAAAAAGCTGGAGTTAGGGCCGTGGGGAAAAAATGACTGCCCTTCTTTGTAGTTTTGCAAAATCCCCTTAACAATGAATTTATTTGATAAAGATTGTCAAATATCACAAAACACTTTAAATCCCAGCTACTTCCTCCCAAAAGCACCCAGGCGAATGATGTGTTTTTAGAAACCTTTGGATCCTTGGAATGCTTGTTCCTGTAAACCAGGGGTAGTCAACCTTGGCTCTTTTATGACTCGTGGACTTCAACTCCCAGAATTCCTGAGCCAGCATGGCTGGCTCAGGAATTCTGGGAGTTGAAGTCCACGAGTCATAAAAGAGCCAAGGTTGACTATCCCTGCGAAACTGTGATACTTCTGCTGCTACTGAAAGAGTACTCAATTCTTACACCAGCACCCCAGCTGAACTTAATAAGTATTTGCTTCAACTTTACCACTGAAACTAAATACACCCTTAAATATTCAAATGGTTGCCACCACCTAAAGCTGGGATGGGCAAACCATGAGTCTACCAAGGCCTGTGTGCTATCCCTGGAACACCCAGCTAGTCTGCTAGCAAATTTAATCACTGGTGCTAAGAATTTTCCTTAAAACGCTAACAAATTAAGCAGAGTTTTGGCCTTGAGTGTCTCCCCAGCACAGTAGGCTGCTCCAGTGTGGGGCGCATCTGCACACGTGAGACAAGTTGATATCTCAGTCAATGAAGCAATACCCTTAGTGACAGGATGACTCGAACCTACACCAATTGGGAAAATATAGCCTCTCGCTGGATTGCCCCACGTAAGTTCAAGAGAGAAGTAGCAGCAGACACTGAAAGAACTAAGCAAGAGAATGATCCTCCACACCCTCTGAATGGGCAGGTGCCCAAAGCCCCCTGGCTTGGATCTAGGAGCAGCTTTATGGCAAGAACAAACATTCTTGACGGTACACAAGAACAATGGAGGAAGGAGAAAAATGGAGGAAGGAGACCACCGAGCAAGGAACAACATCAAAGAAGGCTCTGGCTGAAGGATCTGATCTCCCTTATACTACTTGGAGGACCCTGAATAGGTTGAGAGTTGGAGTGAATAAATCTAAAACCAAT